GGACTATTGGGTAGGATAATTGGGACAATCGAAAGCCCTCATGTGAAATATAAATGCATGTGGATGTTGGCGAAGTTCGAGCATTTTCTCAAGTATGACTTCAACGCTCACATTGCTAAGGATAATGCTACTTCACAATGCATTGAATATACATTAGGTCGTGGAAATCCAATTTCGAGTAGAAAATGTGAAGAATGCCAATTGCCCTTCCGGACAAGTCATTACTTTGTTAAGAATATTTCTTCTGAACATCATATGTTACTCCGAGATTATAGACACAAAATAAAATTGTACTTGGGACATCAAATTAGAGTAGAGAATCAACGCAGGCGTATTCACGAAATTCACTGTCAGTTGAAATTGGATGAGGCTTTAGTCGTTATGGTTAAAAGATGAAATATGAACCCATTTACTTCAGGAAGAAAACTATAAATCATTATGGAAAGAAGGGTCTTAGTTGGCATGGTACAATGTTGCATACGAAAGTAGAATCTACATCAGACGGAGACGGTGAATTAAAAACTCAAATATCATATTACGACGACATATCAGGTGAAATTTCCCAGCAAGATTGGGTGGAAGTTTTATCAATATTGGAAGGCATCATGATGGAAATGAAAAAGACCATTCAGCAGTAAGAAAATTGTTCATTCAATCCGACAACACAAAATGCTACTAAAATGGATATCTCATATTGGGAATGGCGCTTCTGTCGAAGGCATACGGTTTTGAACAGAAATCCTTCCTACATACAGAGACACAGGATGGAAAGGGATGTATCGATGCACACTTTTCAATAGCAATGCGTCTTATTACTAAATATATATAATTGTACCAGAATCTGGTTATTAAATCGAGCCCAAGAAGGCATTAATGCAATTCAGAAATCAGAGTTTTGCTCAGATAAATGACGCAAATTATCCGGAGATGAAGCAAGTAAAGAGTTTTGTTTCTGCATTGAATCAAAAGCATAAGAAGTCTTTTAATCATGCCAACGCATAGTATGAATCATATATTACTATTGACTTTAGTACTATGGAGTCCGTATATTCAATCGATCATATCTCGACTTCTACTCAATATTTTTTCTTCAAAATTTCAGAATATGTTTTTTTTCATCATGTTCTTGCTAAATCCGGGGTCTAAATCCTTTTCCGGAATGACTTTTTCTAACCGCCTCTGCAAAACGGCCTCTAAGTAGTAGTATCCCTGGCTCGCGAAACCGCTGTTAATAACTAGCTGGAGTACCCGTTCCCTGGACGGAAGTTATGTAA